TTGGACTCCACCAAGGTTGCCCTTTGTCATGATTCTGTTCATAACTTTTATGGACAGAATTTCTAGGCACACCCAAGGTGTTGAGGGGATCCGTTTTGGTGGTCTTAGGATTGCGTCTCTGTTTTTTGCAGATGATGTGGTCCTATTGGCTTCATCAGATCATGATCTACAGCTTTCGCTGGAGCGGTTCGCAGCCGAGTGCAACACGGCCGGGATGAAGATCAGTTCTTCCAAGTCCGAGGCCATGGTCTTGAGCCGGAAAAGGGTAGAGTGCCCTCTCCGGGTCAGGGAAGAGGTCCTGCCCCAAGTGGAGGAGTTCAAGTATCTTGGGGTCTTGTTCACGAATGAAGGAAAAATGGAACGTGAGATCGATAGGCGGATAGGTGCAGCGTCTGCAGTGAAGCGGGAGCTGTACAGGTCTGTCGTGGTGAAGAGAGAGCTGAGTCAAAAGGCGAAGCTCTCAATTTACTGATCGATCTACATTCCTACCCTCATCTATGGTCATGAGCTTTGGGTTGTGACCGAAAGATCAAGATCTCGGATACAAGCGGCCGAAATGAGTTTTCTCCGCAGGGTGTCTGGGCTCTCCCTTAGAGATAGGATGAGAAGCTCGATCATCCGGGAGAGACTCTGAGTAGAGCCGCTTCTTCTCCACATTGAGAGGAGCCAGTTGAGGTGGCTCGGGCATCTGGTTAGGATGCCTCCTGGACGCCTCCCTGGTGAGGTGTTCCGGACACGTCCCACCAGGAGGAGACCCAGAGGAAGACCCAGGACATGCTGGAGGGACTATGTTTTATTGGCTGGCCTGAGAACGCCTCGGGATTCCCCTGGAGGAGCTGGACCAAGTGGCTGGGGAGAGGGAAGTCTGGGCCTCCCTACTTAAGCTGCTACCCCCACGACCTGACCCCGGATAAGCGGAAGATGGATGGATGAAATATTTAAAATGACAAATTGAGTCATTTATCTTGTGGCTTTTTTCTGGATGCTTTAAAACATCTGAACCTTCTGCTGGAAAATATTTTTGGTTTCTTTACGATGAAATGTTTTTTGTTGTGAAATTAGACATTCCAAGCCTTTAACTGTCACTTTGACCTCCCTCTGTAGATGTCTTGACCTTAACTCAGTGGTTTCCTGGACTCAGGACTCCACTAAAGATATGAAGAAATCAAAGTCACTGAACAGAATCATGTTCAGCTCTAACCAAAGAAGTGAAATCAAACGTTTGCTGCATCCAGACCAGGTCACGAGCTTCTCCAGCTTTTCATTTACAGTTCACGTACAGAGAAGTTTGGCTGATTTAACGTTTGTTGTTTATTATTTCATGTGTGGAGGATTTAGAGGATTTAGAAACCTCACCCATCAGTCCTCAATGACTGTAGACCTTTTGCCCTGACATCCCACATCATGAAGGTCCTAGAGAGACTTCTGCTGGCCCACCTGACTAAACAAACAAGCACATATCAGGACCCAGTGCAGTTTGCTTATCGGTGTGGACTTGGAGTTGAAGATGCCATCATACACCTACTTATGGGGGTGTGGTGGGGCAGAGGTTAGAAGATGGGCCTGTGATCGGAAGATTGCCGGTTCACGTCCCGGTACCGACAACATCAAAAATATGGGTGGGGTAGGTGAAGTACCCACACTTGCCCCCACTCTGGGCCCATGAGCATGGCCCTTAACCCCCATCTGCTCCCTAAACAGGTCTCTCTTGAAAATGAGTTCTCGTGGGTCAATGAGACTACCTGTATAAATAAAGGGTAAATGAAAAAAATGAAAATACACCTGCTTCAGCAAACTCACTGTCATGTAGAAAAGGCAGACAGCACTGTGAGAGTCATGTTCTTTGATTTCTCCAGTGCATTTAACACAATCCAGCCTGATTTGCTTTGTCAGAAACTCCAGAAGACTCAGGTGGAGGCCTCAACAATCACCTGGATCAAAGACTACCTGACAAACAGACCACAGTTTGTGAGACTGAAGGGTTGTGTGTCTAACCAGGTGGTCAGTAGCTCAGGAGCACCACAGGGGACTGTACTCTCACCATTCCTTTTCACTCTGTACACCTCAGATTTCCAGTATAAAACAGACTCCTGTCATCTGCAGAAATATTCTAATGACTCTGCAGTGGTCGGGTGGATCAGAGATGGACAAAAAACTGAGTACAGGGAACTGATGGACCGCTTTGTGGCATGGTGTGGAAACAATCATCTCATCTTGAATGTGAACAAAACAAAGGAGATGATTGTAGATTTCAGGAGAAACAGGAACAGGCCCAACCCTATTTTCATCATGGGAGAAGAAGTGGAGGTGGTGGAGAAGTATAAATACGTTGGAGTTCACCTGGACAACAGACTGGACTGGAGCTGCAACAGTGAAGCGTCTACAAGAAGGGACAGAGCAGACTGTACTTCTTGAGGAAGCTGAAGTTCTTCAACGTTTGCAGCAAGATGCTGCATATCTTCTATAAGTCTGTTGTAGAGAGCGCTGTCTCTTCTGCCATCATCTGCTGGGGGAGCAGCACCAGAGCAAGTGACTTAAAAAAGATCAACAAGCTCATAAGGAAGGCTGGCTCAGTTCTGGGGACTCCTCTAGAACCTTTGGAGATGATTGTTCAAAGAAGGATTCTTCATTAAATGAAGAACATTATAGACAACCCTCAGCATCCTCTTCATCAGACTGTCATACAACAACAGACTATCATACAACAACAGAGTGTCATACAACAACAGACTGTCATACAACATCAGACTGTCATACAACATCAGACTGTCATACAACAACAGACTGTCATACAACAACAGACTGTCATACAAC